AATGGGGCGCCACGACGCGGAATCATTCGGCACTCACGCGTTCAGGCGCGGGCACGCGCAGGACATCGCTGCCAGGGGCGGACCGGTCACCGACCTTCTTCGCGCGGGCGGCTGGCAACAGCCCGCGTGGATGAAATACCTTAACGTCTCCCGGCTCGAGCGGCAGACGGTCGCGGAAGCCCATTTGGCAGAGTCGTCCAGCGACGATGGCGATGGCTGAGCACCCCGCGCAGTCTGGTGGTCGTGTCTGCACGGCACACACGTGGGCGCACCCCCGGCACGCGGGGGCAGTGGGTGGCAGCGCCGGGCGTGGCCCGCGGGCGCGCCGTTGCAGTGGGTGGTGCTCCCCCACGGGCCCGACCGGCGTCTGCCCGCTTGGCCTCGGAGAGGCCGCGCGCTGCGGGGCAGATGGGTCGGGTCCGCACCCTCCGCTCCTGGGGGTGGCTTCCTCCTCCCCCCCCCCAGGGCCGTGCGAGGCGAGTGCAAGCGCCAGGATTTGTGGGGTCGGAATAACGAAGTTATTGCTTGGCACAAATCCGCCCGCGCTGTGAACGACCCCGCGGCTGGCCGCGGGGGCGCCCTCGCTCGGCTGGTCGGCCGCGCGCGGGTCGACCCTCTTCCGCCTCCCGCTCGCGTCGTGTGGTGCAGTGCCGTGCCGTGCTTCCTCCGCCTGGCACTGGGGCGGGATATAAATACCGTGCCGTGCGTCGGGTTTCGGCCCTCCGCCCTCTGGGGGCTTCGCTCGGCCCATAGTGGCTTCCTTGCGGCCCATAGTGGCTTCGTTGCGGCCCATAGCGGCCTGCTGCGTTCACGTGCCCAATGGGGCCCTCTCTTCTGGTCCATAGTGCCCACGAGCTGTCGTTGGCCCGCCCTACCCGCCCTGGGGGTGTGGGGGGGGGGTGGTGCTCCCCCACGGGCCCGACCGGCGTCTGCCCGCTTGGCCTCGGAGTGGCCGCGCGCTGCGGGGCAGTTGGGTCGGGTCCGCACCCTCCGCTCCTGGGGGAGGCTTCCTCCTCCCCCCCCCCCAGGGCCGTGCGAGGCGAGTGCAAGCGCCAGGAATTTTTAGTTAGTAGCAGCAGCAGTTGTAGTAGTAGTAGTAGTAGTCGTAGTCGTAGTGTCGTCGTAGTCGTAAGTTCGTAGTGTAGTGTAGTAGTAGTAGTAGTAGTAGTAGTAGTCGTACGCGCCGCTACCGTAATTTAGAAGACGAAGTGTGACATATTATCATTATTCGTAGGTCGTAGTCGTAGTCGTAGTCGTAGTCGTAGTCGTAGTCGTAGTCGTAGTCGTAGTCGTAGTCGTAGTCGTAGTCGTAGTCGTAGTCGTAGTCGTGTCGTAGTCGTAGTCGTAGTCGTAGTCGTAGTCGTAGTCGTAGTCGTAGTAGTAGTAGTAGTAGTAGTAGTAGTAGTAGTAGTAGTAGTAGTAGTAGTAGTAATAGTCGTAGTCGTAGTCGTAGTCGTAGGCGTAGTCGTAGTCGTAGTCGTAGTCGTAGTCGTAGTCGTAGTCGTAGTCGTAGTCGTAGTAGTAGTAGTAGTAGTAGTAGTAGTAGTAGTAGTAGTAGTAGTAGTAGTAGTAGTAGTAGTAGTAGTAGTAGTAGTAGTAGTAGTAGTAGCAGTTGTAGTCGTAGTCGTAGTCGTAGTCGTAGTAGTAGTAGTAGTAGTAGTAGTAGTAGTAGTAGTAGTAGTAGTAGTCGTCGAAGTAGTAGTAGTAGTCGTAGTCGTAGTCGTAGTCGTCGTCGTAGTCGTATGTCGTAGTGTAGTCGTAGTCGTAGTCGTCGTCGTCGTCGTAGTACGTAGTCGTAGTCGTAGTCGTAGTCGTAGTCGTAGTCGTAGCCGTTAGTCGTAGTAGTAGTCTAGTCGTAGTCGTAGTCGTAGGTGTAGTCGTAGTCGTTAGTCGTAGTTCGAGGTCGTAGTGTCAGTCGTAGGTCGTTAGTTCGTAGTTTCGTCATGTCGTAGTCGTAGTCGTAGTCGTAGTCGTACGTCGTAGTCGTAGTCGCTAGTGTAGTCGTAGTCGAAGTCGTGTCGTCGTCGTCAGTTCGTAGTGAAGTAGTAGTCGTTAGTAGTAGTAGTAGTAGTAGTGTAGTAGTAGCTTTGTAGTAGTAGTAGTAGTAGGTGGTGGTGGTGGTGTGTGTGGTCGGGTGGGGTGGTTGGTGGTGGTGGTGGTGGTGGAGGTGGTGGTTAGTAGTAGTAGTGTAGTGTATGGTAGTGGTGTTGGTAGTGGTAGTGGTAGTGGTAGTAGTAGTAGTAGTAGTAGTAGTAGTAGTAGTAGTAGTAGTAGTAGTAGTAGTAGTAGTAGTAGTAGTAGTAGTAGTAGTAGTAGTAGTAGTAGTAGTAGTAGTAGTAGTAGTAGTAGTAGTAGTATAGTAGTCGTAGTAGTAGTAGTAGTAGTAGTAGTAGTAGTAGTAGTAGTAGTAGTAGTAGTAGTAGTAGTAGTAGTAGTAGTAGTAGTAGTAGTAGTAGTATTCTCCGATTTAGTACCGCAGTGGATCTTTTAGACTTCGTGGACGATATTCTATGCGCAACGCCCGACGAGGGCACGGCTTGGCGGAACCTGTGCCGAGCGGTCCGTTTTCTGTTGCGGTGCGGTATCCCCGTCAGCGCCATACCTGGAGGCATCCGAGCCCCAGCGCGCCGACAAACCTGGATCGGTTCGGTTTTTGACATTGTTGAATGCATTATCACCGTTGCACCCGATAAGGCGGACCGCTGTCGCGAGTTGCGCGCTGCCGTTCTCGAGGCAGACCAACGCCGTGCGCTCCACAGCAAACATCTAGCGTCGGCAGTAGGTTTGGCCTCGCACATCGCGGAGCTCCTTCCGCAGCTGCGTCGCCGGCTACACCCTCTCTGGGCCGATTTTAATTCGTCGGGGGTGTATTCGGCATGGCGTTCCAGCCCTGTGTCCGACTCCCCTGCGACTCTCTCAGAGCTCAGTCGCGCGGCCCTGGCGCGCGTCTGCTCGTCCATGTGCACGCCCCCGGTGCGTTCCTTGCACTGTGGCGGTGGCCCTCTCAGCATGTGAGTTCGCTGACTGGGCGATTCTTGTTCGAAAAGGCGCAATCCGGGTCGTGGAGTGCGACGCTTCCAAGATGCACGGGTGGTCGTACCATCTGTGCTGGAACAGCCGCGTCGTCTCTGATACGTGGCCAGACATCTTTGAAGCTCGGGAGGCGCAGCCCAACTCTTTGGAAACTACAAGGAGTTGTGGGTTGTAGTCCAATGCCTCCTTAGGTAGTCTGCCTGTTTTGAAAGGTTGGCGAGTATTGTTCAGACTCGACAGTCCCGCAGCCGTGCATTACGTCAATGTGCGGTGTGGGTGGATACCTTCCCTCGAATCTCTGGCACATCGTCTCGAGAGTGCCGAACGGGCTGCGCAATGCTGGGCGTTGGCTTTGCATATACCTGGCAGGAGCAAGGCCATTGCAGACGCGGGCTCTCGGTTCTTGAACTTCGCGCGTTCCTTGCGCGACGATCGGTACAGGGACGCCGCGCTGTGCAAGGCCTTGTTTCAAGAGATCGAAGCCAGATGTGGCTTTCAGTTCACGCTGGATCTGTTCGCCGATAGGCTCGGCGTCACAGCAGTCGCCCCCGAGTGGCGTTTTCCAGAACTTTCTGCTTTTGAGGCCAAGCTACACGGCCACGTGGTGTGGGCACACCCGCCACGCGCACTGCGAAGAGAGACTTTTCAATGTTTAGACTCCGCTGTTGCTGATGGCGCAGCCCTGCGCGTCGTAATCCTGTGCCCTGACGACCCAGGAGCCCCGTGGTTCCGCACGTCGGTGCTTTCCAAGTGGCACAGGATCAGAAAGTGGCCTACCGGGTCCGCCTTTTTACAGTGGCCATCAGATCGGGGCTTATCGAAGGGCCCAGCGTCCGATCTGCCATGCGTCGTGCTACAGAGTTGGCTTCCGAACCGCCTGAAGCGCAAGCGCTGACGGAACTGATTGTGTTCATGCGCACTCCGCTCCAACAAACAATATTCCTTATACGATGCGTGCTCCTCTCTTCTCCTCGCCCTCCTCCCTCTCCCATGCCCCCGGCTCCTCTGCCGTGCGTCCCTCGTGCCCTTACCTGCCACCGGACTGTCCATCCACAGCCGGCGTCCCGATGTTTTCTTCTATGTTGTTATCCGGTTCACTTAGTCCATCAGCGGACGTGCCAACCGAACGCTTAACCTGTCGGGGGCATGGCGTTTGAGGAGCGCGTCAAGGCCTTCATCGACGAGGCGACTGCTGCCGCCTGCGCCCCGCAAGGTGCCGTCTACACAGCGGTGCTCGCCCGCATCACAAAAGAGGTCGGGCTCGACGGGGCCATCAGCCTTGCGGCCCATCGCGCGGTCGGAGAGGGCCTCGCGAAGGAAGCCCGGGTCCTAGATTTCCAAGCCGAGGCAGACTCGGAGTTCCCGTTCCGCAAGGTGCTGCGCGAGTTCACCCCCGACCAAATCCGGAAGGCGTGGTTCGCGATCATGGTTGACGCAGACCAGGTCGAGGACTCAGTCACGGATTCTTTCGCTGACGCAGGTGATCCCATGGCCACTCTTTACGCTCTTGCTCCGTTCCCTGCCACACTACGGCGAGCAAACAGAAGGAGGAGGAGGAGGAGGAGGAGGAGGAGGAGGAGGAGGAGGGAGGAGGGAGGAGGAGGGGAGGAGGAGGAGGACGAGGACGAGGACGAGGAGGAGGAGGAGGAGGAGGGGAGAGGAGGAGGGGAGGAGGAGGAGGAGGATGAGGAGGAGGAGGAGGAGGAGGGAGGAGGAGGAGAGGAGGAGGAGGAGGAGGGAGGGAGGAGGAGGGAGGAGGAGGAGGAGGAGGAGGAGGGGGAGGAGGAGGAGGAGGAGGCGTCAGAGTCCCAGGGCAAAGTCCGACTGAGGAGGAGAGGAGGAGGAGAGGAGGAGGAGGAGGAGGAGGAGGAGGAGGAGGAGGAGGAGGAGGGAGCAGAGAGGAGGGAGGAACGAGGAGGGATCCTGTAGCCGGGAGCAGGGAACTCCGCGTGCCCGCCCTGCCGAAGGCCTCCGCGCAGGTGGCCCGCTGGCTGCGCCTGGAGGCCGCCTTGCAGCGGTTGCTCGCGCCGGGCGAGGGCTCGCCGTGAGAGCGCCGCCGCCTGGCCGCGGGCCGCTCCCGAAGGGCCGAGGCGGCGAGAAAGCAGCGCGGCATCATCGAGGGATCGAGGGATCGAGGGTTCGAGGGATCGAGGGATCGACGGATCGAGAGATCGAGGAAATGAGGGATCGAGGGATCGAGAGATCGAGAATTCGAGGGATCGAGAGATCGAGGGAATGAGGGATCGAGGGGTCGAGGGATCGAAAGGTCGAGGGATCGAGGGATCGAGGAATCGAGGTTTCGAAGGATCGAGGGTTCGGAGGACCCGGGGGTCGAGGGATCGAGCATCCCAGATTTCCGACGATCTTATTGTGAAGGCCTGACGGCCGGCGCCGCCAACCCTGAAAGACATCGACGACGACCAGGAGGGGGAGGAACAGGAGAGGAGGAGAGGAGGAGGAGGAGGAGGAAGAGGAGGAGGAGGAGGGAGGAGGAGGGAGAGGAGAGGAGGAGCAGGAGGAGGAGAGGAGGAGGAGGAGGGAGGAGGAGGAGATGGAGAGGAGGAGGAGGAGGAGGAGGAGGAGGAGAGGAGAGGAGGAGGAGGAGGAGGAGGAGGAGGAGGGAGGAGGAGGAGGAGGAGGAGGAGGAGGAGAGGAGGAGGAGGAAGGAGGAGGAGGAGGAGGAGGAGGAGGAGGAGGAGGAGGAGGGGGGTAGGAGAAGGAGGAGGAAGAGGACGAGAGGAGGAGGAGGAGCAGGAGAGGAGGAGGAGGAGAGGAGAGGAGGAGGAGAGAAGGAGGAGAGGAGGAGGAGGAGGAGGAGGAGGAGGGAACGACGGGACGAGGAGGAGAGGAGGAGGAACAGGAGGAGGAGGTGGAGAGGATGAGGAGGAGGAGGAGGAGGAGGACGAGGAGGGGAAGAGGAGGATGAGGAGGAGGAGGGGCGGCGGAGAATGAGGAGGTAGGAGGAGGAGGAGGAGCGAGGAGAGGAGGGAGGAGGAGGAGAGGAGGAGGCTGAGGAGGAGGAGGAGGGGAGGAGGAGGAGGAGGAGGAGGAGGAGGAGGAGGAAGAAACATGATAATAATAATAATATTTTTATTAACAATAATAGTTGTAATACTAATAGTAGTAATACTAATACTACTAGTAATATTATTAATACTCGTAATCGTAACACTAATACGAATAATACTAATACTAGTATTATTAGTATTATTAATAATAATACTAATACTACTACTAATACTAATACTCATACTAATAATACTACTACTACTAATACCAATAATATTATTAGCGGTAATACTAATAACAATAATAATAAGCATACTACTACTACTACTACTACTACTAATAATACTAATACCGGTAATAATAGTAATATTACTAATAATAACAATACTAATACTACTAATAATACTATTATTATTCTTATTATTATTAATAATAAGAATACCACTGCTATTAATACTAATAATAATAATAGTAGTAATACTAATCATATTAATAAAAATAATAGTAATATTCATAGTAATAATATTCAGAAGAAGAAGAATACTAATAATAATAAGAATAATAATAAGACGAATACGACGAATACTACAAATAATACTAATACGAAGAAACACATGAAGAATAACAATACGAATAAAATGCATAAGACGAATACGACTACTAATAATACTAAGAAGAATACGAAGAAGAAGAGGAGGATGAGGAGGAGGAGGAGGAAGAGGAGGAGGAGGCGGATGAGGAGGATGAGGAGGAGGATGAGGAGGAGGAGGAAGAGGTGGAAGAGGAGGAGGAGGAGGAGGAAGAGGAGGAGCAAGAGCAGGAGCAGGAGCAGGAGCAGGAACAGGAGCAAGAGCAGGAGCAGGAGCTGGAGCAGGAGCAGGAGGAGGAGGAGGAGGAAGAGGAGGAGGAGGAGGAGGAGGAGGAGGCGGAGAGGAGGAGGCGGAGGCGGAGGCGGGGAGCAAAAGCGGAGGGGACGGGAGGGGAGGGAGGGAGGGAGGGAGGGAGGAGGGAGGAGGGAGGAGGGGAGGATGAGGATGAGGGAGGAGGAGGAGGGAGGAGGGAGGAGGGATGAAGGAGGGGGGGAGGGAGGGAGAGAGGGAGGGAGGGAGGGAGGTATGAGGGATGGAGGGAGGAGGGCTCAGGGAGGGAGGGAGGGAGGGAGGGAGGAGGGGAGGAGGAGGAGGAGGAGGAGGAGGAGGGGAGGAGGAGGAGGAGGAGGAGGAGGAGGAGGAGGAGGAGGAGGAGGAGGATGAGGAGGAGGAGTGAGGAGGAGGAGGATGAGTGTAATTCAACGAAACATGAGGAGAGGAGGAGGAGGAGGAGGAGGAGGAGGAGGAGGAGGAGGAGGAGGAGGGGGAGATGAGAAGGATAGGAGGAGGAAGAAGAGGAGCAGCAGCATGAGCAGCAGGCGGAGCAGGAGCAGGAGCAGGCGGAGGAGGAGGATGATAATGAGGAGCAGGATGAGGAGGAGGATGGAGGGGGATGAGAACAGGAGGGGGAGCAGGAGGAGGACGAACAGGAAGCATACGACTGCTATACTACTACTACTACTACTACTACTACTACTACTACTACTACTACTACTACTACTACTACTACTACTACTACTACTACTACTGACTACTACTGCTGCTGCTGCTGCTGCTGCTGCTACTACTACTACTACTACTACTACTGTTACTTCTACTTTTACTATTACTATCACTACTACTACTACTACTACTACTACTACTACTACTACTACTACTACTACTACTACGACTACGACTACGACTACGACTACGACTACGACTACTACTACTACTACTACTACTACTACTACTACTACTACTTCTACTACTACTAATACTATTAATGATAATATTACTAATAATAATACTACTAATAATAATGATATTAATATTAACAATAATAATGATGATACTAATAATAATCACACCACTACTAGTACTGTTACTAGTAATAATACTAATAAGAATAATAGTTGTAGTAGTAGTGCTAATACTAACAATTCTGGTAATATGTATATATATACTAATGCTGATAATCATACTAAGACTAATACTACCACGACTACTACTATTACTAACACAAGTGGCACGCGTGTCATGGCTCTTGCACAACACTGAGGGG